TTTTACGCCACTTTTCAAAAGCTTATTTGGACTACACTTTTACATTTTTGATATTTTTTTTTTTTAATAAATCATGTCCTTACTCTTGTTGGGAACTCATAACGAGATTTTCGAGATATTCACACTCACACACTCAAAGGTGGATATTTCTCATTTTAATTAATTTATTTCAATTTGTAATTTTGGATTTTTTATAAAATTATACTGAGCAAACGTTTTGGTGTCATAATATACACATATCAACAAAAAAATCAAATACATAAACTTTGCCAGTAGCGTACGGCATGGCTAAGTAACACCTTCATCCCTTCTAAATTCTACACCACTCTTCAAAAACTTATTTGGACTATAATTTTGAATTTTTTAATGTTTTTTAATCGACTTCAAAAAAAGGAGGAGGTTCTCAATTCGTCGTAATATATTTTTTTTTCAGCGATAATTCTTTAACACTGTGTCCGATTTCAATGATTCTTTTTATGTTAGAAAGGGGATACTTGAGGGGTGGTCCCATATTAATTTGGTCAAAATTTAATCATTGGGTCCATTAGAAAATCCTCAAACTCTTCATTTTTAATGCACGTTTAGCGGTAATTCTTTACAACCTTGTCCAATTTCTATGATTCTTGTTTTATTAGTAAGGGGGTACCTCAGGTGTAGTCCCATATAAATTTGGTTAAGATGTGGTGACTGCATCTGCACGATTTTGAAGTCGGTTTTTTAAAATTACTTTTAATACTTGGTAAATAAATCATGTATCCTTGGGAATTTATAAAAAAATTCAAAATTACAAAGTTAAAAAATAAATTTGAATGTGAATATCTCGAAAGCCAATCACTTTATGAGTTCTTAACAAGAGTACATTATTTATTTAAAAAATATCAAAAATTTTAAAATTATAATTTAAATAAGGTTTTGGAGAATGGCGGTAAATTTAGAAGGGATTAAAGTGTTACTTATCCATACTGTACGCAACTGGCAAAGTTTATTGAACTGATTTTTTTGCTGATGACAGAGAATCTTCAGCTGTTCTATATCCCATTCTTAATGAGACACACTGTATAGAATATCCTTTTAATATTAAATCGCTGTGTTGAACAAAGTATATATCAAACAGCTTTTAAAATGAGTTTAGAGAAACACATATCCGGGGTTTTAGTATATTCGACCGACCACACTCCAGAAAGTACTCGTTAATTAATGAATTTTTATAGAGGAACCTGAACCCTTAAAGCGCTTAGTTACCGATCTACAGGGTGTTAAAAGTTTAAAATAAAAATTCAAAATTTGCTATACTCTTACATCAAAAACGCCTTTAATTTTTTTTTTAAATTTGCTTAATTAATATCTTGTCATACATGAACTATTAAAAATTTTATACGTGGTACTAGATTATAATTTAGAAATATTGAGTAGTTACAAATTATCTAAGTACTTGCAGACGTTTGTTTAGAAATAAATTTCTACAACACCGTTTATTTTAGCTCCATAAAAGTTATATTTTTTAACTAAAAATGGACGGAGGATTAAAAAAAATTGAAAATATTTGTTCCAGTGTCGTAAAAATGGGGGGATAAAAGTTGTCGATAACCCTCATAGCGTGCCACTGGTTAAATTTTTCAAAAGTTAGTCCATGAAATAACATTTAAAGACGTTTTTGATCTATGGCAAATTTTGAATTTTGATTTCAAACTTTTAACACCTTAATATTGGTAACGAAGCCCTTCTTTAAGGGTTCATGTTCCTATAGCATTATTTAACGAGCAGGGCCCCCGCAAGGCTTATCGCCGCCCGCGTGCTGGAAATATTTTGGCGCCCTTTGAATGTAGTACTTATATAAATAATATTTTGAAGAATAACAATTTTAAGCTGTTACATATGTTTTTTAAATTTCTTGGTTTGCTGCAATATTCTTGTAGTCGTTTAACATTTGAGCGAATTGCGAAACCACATTTTATTTTAATTTTGTAATGAAACAACAGATATTTCAAAAACCAATATTTTATTATTACAAACGAAAAAACAAACCAAACAGTAAACAAATAAAAAATTCAATTATCCAAAAATTACATATGTTTTTTTCTGGATTTGGCTGCTGGAAATTCTTTTATAATGTCAAAATCAATTTTATCGATGATCTCTTGCTCTATAGCTAAGATTGCTAAACCCGATAATCTTTTTTGTGACATGGTAGACCTCAAATAACTTTTAATTATTTTTAATTTTGAGAAGGATCTCTCACCAGAAGCTACAGATACAGGTAAAGTAAGCAGGATTCTTAAAGAAATGGTAATATTTGGTAGAGATGAAGTTAGATTGTTTTCAAATATATATTGTAAAATGTCGAGTGGATTTGACGCTTCAGTTAATGAAAACAATCTTAGGGCTTTTATCTCATTAAATAAATAATTTTCTTCTACGTCACTCTCCTCCTTTTTCTGATCAGTTAGCTTTTGCTGTAGAGCACGACAGCATTTTAAAAGATCCTCGTCATTTAATTTAAAAATATCACTAAAAAAACCAAAAACGTTGTCGTAATCAGACATTATTTCAAATCTACTATTTAAAGAACTTAGTGTGATCAATTATTTTTAAAAATAAATTTATTTTAAACGCTGTTTTTGGCTCTTGAGGTGTCTCATCTCTCTGTTCATAATCGAACACTTTTGGTTTATACTTTCGTCTAACAGTATTTAATGGAGGAAAACCTTGCTCTATCTCAAGAGCGGCTGTTAGTTCTCCAGCTTAAGCAAGTTTTTCCTCGAAAACATTATCATCTCTATAATTTTTAAAATTATCAACTAGATTCTTTAAACAGTTTTGGCACACTTTAATATCGGCCGCATCATTTTGCTTACAATGCCAATCTGGAATAAAACATCATACCAAATTATTGTTACACTGCAAATAAATTTAAAAGATTGGATACTTTATAGCATAGAACTTGCTTTATGCCTAGCTTCTATGTTAAAAGTATCATTTTCTGCTATTTCTAGAAGGCTGTCACAAATTTGAATTAAATGAAACTTTAGCGGCCTTATAGTATCAATCCTACTTGACCATCTAGTATCACTTAGGGGTTTTAGATTTAACTAATATTTCGGTACAAATCATGCTCTGTATACAATTTTTGTATATCAGCAGTGTTTATCGAATATAAAGTTGACAAATGACATGCCACCACGAGGAAGCAAAGGCCTCTTTTCTGTCTGATTTGTATCAAATTTCTGCTTCTTTTTATCTGTTATAAATTTGAGACGTAAATCCGTTAAAATATCCTCAATTAAACCTATTTTTGAATAATAATATTTTTAAATAAAATTAACTAGTAAAAATATTAATAAAAACACGTTTATAACTCAAATATCTTAAAAAATATTCTAAGAACACAACTGGCCTCTTACACATTTCTTCAGCAACCAACATTTTGTTGACTGCAAAATTATACCTTATTAGGAAAAAAATTATTAAAAAAGAAGCACTAATGTTAATTATAAAACGAGTATAAATATCTTTTTTGCATATTTAGTTAAGTTTAATGCTTAATCATAATGTAATGTTTGTTTATTTTAAAACAGTTTATTTATTAATAATTTATTTAAACACTTATTTATGTTATAACTGTTCACTATTTATCTTCACTGTCCATATATCTAATAATGACCCGCTTGGTCCTCCACCAATATTTATATAAAAATTTAAAAGTTTGGCGAAGGTGCTAGAAAGTTCACCTATTCTCACCAATACACTAGAAACATTATACCTTTCTTTCTCGAATAGTCATCGAAAGCTCTTTCGCCATAAATGGTCTTAAGGGGTTTAATTATGTATGATAATCGGACAAGTTGAGCCTCGAAGGCCAACATAAGACAGAGAGGAACTTGGAGGATTAGAGCATGACTGAATAATGAAATGGCTCACATTACAATAATAAATAGACCCTTACTCTTCACAGTTTAATAGACCCCGTCCCCTTAACCCCTCATTTTTATTCATATTCTTTCAGAATCACTAGGCTTCATCCCCTTAAAAAGCTTGATTTTTCCTAAAGATTTCATGTTGATATGGCTTTTGGTGTTTGATAACTATTTTTTGTTATTTCCTTAAGGGTTTTGTTCACATTTTTTTTTTAATCATAGACTTTGTCCCCATATAGAGCTTGATTTTTGCTAAAAAATTCAAGTTGATATTGTTTTTCCGAAACATATTATGTTTTGCTTAAATTAAAAAAAAACTATTGACCGAATAAACCAAGTAACTTTTTATTTATATAAACTTGTTTAATTGTACTTATAAACCAGAATTAATTAAAATGTACATATTAATAAAACGTGCCAATATTATAAAAACCAAGTACACAGTAACACAAAAACACTGGAGATGTACAAGAATCGTAATAATAAAACTGAGCGATTAATATCGAGATATCAATATGACATTTATAATGTCGAAAAGTGAAACCAAGGCAAAACAATTCAAGGTTATTCATTAATTATTCAAAACAACGCTTGCCTTTCTGTTTTATTATTTTCTTATGACAAGGTAATTCAAACCCAAACCCCATATTGATGTATTCAAATATTCATCTGAAAAAAAAAATAAATATCAATGATATCATATCTTTATAAATATGACAGAAGGCGAAAATCTCCAAGCGTCATTAAATAGCGCATGAAATATAAGAAAAAATTTATTGGAGTCAATTTTCAGTATAATCCATAATTGAGACACAATCGGGTGTTCCGCCAATTTTCCCCAACCCTGTCTAACTATAATAAACTAAAAATGTTGGAAATATACCGACCATATTTATAACACCTAAAAACGAAATAAAAATTTTTAAAGTACCAAAATGTAACAAAAACATTAACCAACGAAGCATACATTTTATTTTTGTTTTCTGTATCGTCAATATTTTTGTTTATGATTTATTTGTTCTCTTTTCTCGCCACTGGAAAACCTAAAAACCACATGAATGTACACTGCATGTATTCTTTTTATAGATCTCTATCTTATGAAGCATGGATGGAACACACGAAAAACACCAAACAAATGGCCGACAACGAACTGAGCGATACGCTCAAATTTCGAGAGGCTCTATTCGTATGCCGAAACAGAGCGAGAAACGACATGCACTCTCAAAGAGAATACGTCAATTTCATTCTCAGAAAACGCATTTACGAAACTCAAAAAGCTAGAAACGAGATGGAATGGCAATCGTTGAAGATGAAAGAAGAAATGGAGAAGATAGAAAGAGAACTCAGAACTTTGAGAGATTTTCTGCACACTAATACTAATGCTTTGAAATTGGTAGAGACCAGATTGGAGAACAGGTCATACAGGTAAGTAAATATGGAGGGTTTTGTATTAATAGATAATCCGTGTGACTACTAGAAAATTTCTGATGGATATATTTCAGCTGTAAGTATTTAAGTAAAAAACTTTTTTTCAAAAAGTGATTAGAGAGATATTGGAAATTTCTGTAACGTCAGTCAGGCAAATACATTCCTTGCTAAAATAAAACTGTCGCAAACCTGATGTTTTGACATTAGACTCTTTGTCCTTATACATATTCCTAACTACATTTTAAAAATATTAAATCATGGTTCATCTTATTTGTTGTCTATAATAGTACATAATATGGAAGTGGTATTAGAAATGGCCATTTTTAGGAGATTTAGATGATGATATAAAATATTTAGACAATATTAGAAAATATCGAACTGATACGAATGTTGGCGAGCGCACTCAAAAGCTAATAAAGACATAGTGAGTGGCGACTTTATAGTTTTCGGGGGCGCTCGCCAACATTCGTATCAGTTCGAAGTTTTTTAATATTAAATATTTAATATAATCGTCATCTAAACCTTCTAAAATGGTAATTTCTAATGCCTCTTCTATATTGTGTACCATTCATTATAAACAACAAAAAAGATTAACTGTAATTTAAAATTTTTATAATGAGGTTAGAAATATGTATAAGGACAAGGATCTGAGACCAGGACTCTGTCAAAATTTCAGGTTTGCAATAAGTCCTATTTTAGCATGGAATTTATTTGCCTCTAATTACGTTGTCACTATTAGAGGCTGACGTTATAGAAATATGCAATATCTCTCTAATGCAAGTTCATTTAAAGTCAGTCACTATTAGTGCCGCTTTTATTTTGACATCTAAGCATGCGCAGATCGTTTATGTTCTAAAACTGACTTTACTAAAGATTGTGCCTGTCCTTGATTGTAGATGTTTAAGGGCAGCAGGTAGTGGCGACTTTATAGCTTTCGGGTGCACTCGCCGACATTCGTATCCGTTCGAAGTTTTTTAATATTAAATATTTAATATAATATTAAATTATAATTTCTAATGCCTCTTCAATATTATGTTCTATTATAGACAACAGAAAAGATAAACTATAATTTAAAGTTATTAAAATGAGGTTAGAAATAAGTATAAGGACAAGGATTCTAATGTCAAAATGTCAGTTTACAATAAGTCTGATTTTAACATGGAATTTATTTGACTCTTATTACGATGTCACTATTAGTGGCTGGCGTTACAGAAATTTGCAATATCTCCCTATTACAAATTTCTATAACGTCAGCCACTAATAGTGATAACGTAATTAGAGGCAAATAAATTTCACGCTAAAATAAGACTTATTGCAAACCTGAAATTTTGACATTAGAGTACTTGTCCTTATATATATTTCTAACCTCAATTTAAAAATTTTAAATTACAGTTCATCTTTTTTGTTATTTATAATAGTACATAATTTGGAAGAGGCATTAGAAATTACCATTTTAGAAGGTTTAGATGACGATGATACTAAATATTTAATTTAAAAAAACTTCGATTTGATACGAATGTTGGCGAGCATACCCGAAAACTATAAAGTCGCCACTAACTGATGTCCTAAAACATCCACAATTAAGGAAAGACAGTAGAATGTAAGTGAGCTTCGCATGCTCAGATGTCACAATAAGAGCGGCATTAATAGTGACTGACCTTAAGTGAACTTGCAATAGAGAGTTGTTAATTTTAGTGCGTTTTTGTTAAAAATAGTCAATTCAGTACCATTTTCAGTACTATTTGGACATTTTTCGAATAAAGTGACGTATTTTATCAACAAAATAGTCAATTCAGAACCATTTTCAGTACTTTTTGACATTTTTTGAATAAAGTGACGTATTTTACTAACAACAGTTGACAGTTAAGGGCCGATTCCAATTTCAATCACTAAACCACAGTTTATAGCTTAAAATAATCAGTTCGCTCACTCGGACCAATTGGATGTTCTAAAATAATATCCACTCCAGGGATACAAATTCAGGATGCGCAGAAGAATGCTGTTTGAAAATAGGCGGTTGTCATATATTGTACTGGTTATGAATTGATTCTGTATGTGCCAGGGATACAAGTCCGAGTTGCGCAGTGTAAAAACTGGAACATTGAGATCAAAAGTGCCGACACAGAGTGAGCGAACTGATTGTTTAGCTATAAACTGTGACAAAACGAAGATTAAAATGACATTTTTACAATGTCATTTAAATGTTCGTTTAACACAACGGTGGAATCGGCTCTAAGACAAATAATTTATTTAAAATTAAAATTTAGTGCACGTTTGTTGATTGTAATTATGGAAGTAAAACGGATTAAGACGTTTTCTTTTGTAATACATAATTCAGTCTTTAATTTCCCCAATGCTAATCCGAAATACGTAAGCACCAGTCAATGTAATTACAATTATTACCTCTCAAACTATTATATACCTATTTATACACCATTACTGATAAAATTAATGCTCTTTCTGAAAAATCTGCTGGTGTAGATAACTTACCAACAAGTTTCCTAAAAAAATGTGCTGACGAAATATCCAACCTACTATATATTTTATTTAACAAATCATTACAAGAGGGTTGTTTTCCTCGCGTTTGGAAATCAGCTATAATCGTTCATATCTTGAAATTCGGTAATAAACTTTTCGTGGAAAATTATCGTCCTATCTCTAAATTGTGTATCATAGCTAAACTTTTTGAATCAATCATATGTGAGTACCTATACGTCGATTTTAAAAATATCATTAACAGTGAACAACATGGTTTCATGAAAAAACGTTCTGTAGAAAGTAATCTATTTATATACTCTCAGTATTTGCTGGACACTATGAATAATGGATATCAAGTGGATGCTGTGTATACTGACTTCAGCAAAGCATTCGAGAAAATCGATCACAATATTCTTATTTGTAAACTTGCCGAAGCCGGTATTCACGGCTGTCTGCTTAAATGGATATCCTCTTATATCAGTAACAGGACTCAAGCGGTAAATATAGGCTTGTACACCTCCTTATTCACAGACATTACCTCCGGAGTACCTCAAGGGTCCCATTTAGGTCCTCTCTTGTTCAATATACAGGGTGTTAAAAAAAAGTGTCACAAAATGAAATGGTGAATAGTATGACCCAAAATAAGCAGAAAAGTCTTAATAAATATATGACCGCAAATTAACGGTTTCGGAGATACGGACAATTTTGTGTTTATAACAATTTTTTATTATTATAAAAAAACAATGATATTTATAAACAATCAATAACAACATAGAGTTAAATGAGATGTTCAAATACTGACGTAGCGCTTCCCTCGCATTGCCATTTGCACGACCGTACATAAAATGCATGTCAGCTAATTCAATATTAGTGTAAACAGGCATAACGAAAATTTATAAAATTATTCACCCACAACAAAATAATAACTGCAAATAGTATCTATGAAAAAACATCGGTAGACTCCGATAAGAAAAGCAAGTTTTTGAGAATGAAAAAAGAATCAAAAAATGATACAAAACACTCCGTATCTCTGAAACCATTCATTTGCGGACATATGTTTATTAAGACTTTTCTGCATATTTTGGCCCATACTACCCCCCGTTTTATTTTGTGAGACTTTTTTTTTAACACTCTGTATATATTAATGATATAAAAAACTGTTTTAAATTTTCTAAATTCTTAATGTATGCCGACGATTTAAAATTTTTTCAGTCACGAGCCATACCGATGTACTACTTATTCAACATGATCTTGATAACTTTTTTCAATACTGTCAAAGCAACTGCTTGTACCTTAATCTAAATAAATGTCGTACCATTACATTTTCTAGGAACAAAAACCAAATACTAGTAAAACCCATTGAAATTAGAGGAATGTAAACATAATATCAGATTTTAAAACCACTTAAGCATAATTATAGTTACTTTACTCTGATATTGTTGTTAATGATTGATACTATTTCCTGATTAAATATATTGTAACATTACCCTAAATCAATTGTATGATAAATAGTTAACAGTGTTATGTTATTTTTTGTACAAACTTTATTGATTTACTTTTGCTATCAATAAGACTTACTTGTTTTAAAAATGTACAAATAAAGTTTGAATTTCTTACGTGATTTTAACTTCTATCAGTAGACCGTCGATATGTTCTGTTTTGTCTGTGTTCTGTTATGTCTGTGTTCTGTTATGTCTGTGTTCTGTTATGTCTGTGTTCTGTTTTGTCCTTGTTCTGTTTTGTCTGTGTTCTGTTTTGTCCGTGTTCTGCTTTGTCTGTGTTCTGTTTTGCCAAGTTCTGTTTTGTCATGTTCTGTTTTGTCCTGTTTTGTTTTGTCAAGTTCTGTTTTGTCATGGAACCAAGTTATTTAATAGATAATGAATTTAAATCTCCAGCCATTTTTAGGGAGTCGTTCGATTTAGGTATTGGTACATTTTCATAAAATATAGCTTTTTTTATTTGGTTATTCAGTACGTTTTTTTGAAATTCATTAAGTTTTAAAATGTTTTTCAGTACGATTTGTCATTTTAATTCTGGCAGCCCTGAAGCTGCCACAAACCTATCATGTATGCATATCCACCATCTATAGAGTCTTAAAATGTAATCAACTTTAAGACTTCGTATAAATTGAAGAATTAAACCTTATAACCTGTATAGATTAGGTCGAAATAAATATTGAGAAAATATACCTCCACATTTTATTCAATTATTAACGTATACATAATATTTATGGATTTCTATGTACTTGGTCATATTGTAAAGAGACGTAGCATTCACTGAGATTTGATCATTTTCCCATTTAATTAATTTTCCAAACCCGAAATAATTGCCTATTTTAAGGGACATTACACGTCACATTAATGGAATCTATTTTACATCACTATTTCATCTCTGCAAATAGTGGTAATTCTGCAATACGTTTATTCTTAACGGGTGTTAAATTTTACAATTTTAAATTGTGATTCTCTAAAAATAAAATGAACGCATACGTTAAATTTACAAATAAATTAACATAGGTCGTTAAAAGTAGTTCAAATTTGCAATAAAAGTATAGTTAAGTTTTAAGGTCTGTCAAATATAAATGTCATTCCTATTGTCATATTTATTGTATCTATTTGTTTTTGCACAAGAAAATTGAAAAAGTAGCAGCCGAATGTACTTTATAAACTATTTGGTAGGCCATCAACTTTCAATAAAAACAAAACTAACCACAGTTACCTCATAATAGTGCCCTTCTATGGCAAATCAATTACTAACTACAGAAAGTTTATATGCACTATAAATAAAATATAATTTCTAAATACAATTTGTGTAATTTCTACTGTTAAAATTACTTGAGTACTTTCAAAAGGGTTCATTTTCATGATTTTCTTGAATTATAAGTTGAATTAAACAATCAAAAGTCCTAATTTCTTATATTGTGACGCGGAGCCGTCTCTGTACTTTGTTTACTCCATGCCCGCTTCGAGAAGCTACCGGAGTGATCCCTTTGCGGCGTATGAGTCTTAAAATGGTAGTTATCGATCGTTCTGGAAAGCCGAGAGTGAATAGCGCGAGTTTGTCGACGGACAAGAATATTCAATTTAAGTGTTGGAGAAAAAATTTTTAATAAATGAATTAGAATTGTGAGTTATAATAATGCTTAAGTATTATATAAATTAATTAGTACGCTATAAATAAATTGTAAATAAAGTGTTTTAAATAAATAAACTATAAATACATTAAACAAACGTTACAATATGTAAAGTTTTAAAGCCTACTAATTAGTACCTGTTAATAACCTCGATTTAACGCATAAAATTAACACATATATGTTAAATTTTTAATATATTTCTGCTTATAGAATAGATTTTTGCGGCACAAATGAACTATTATGTTAAAATATTTCAATAATTTACAGAATTGCTTTTCATATTTAACATACGTTATATTTTTAACGTCCGTTAAATTTTAACATATTCGTTATAGAATTACCATTTGAAGAAATAAATTGTAACGCATACCCATAATAGTCGATAATAAATTCAATACCCTTTTGCGTATCAAAAATACCTAGGTCAGAAAAACAAATCAAACAGTAGTTTGTTGGTCATGTTTTTTATTTAAACGTAAATATGCACTTAGTGTTTTTTACTATAAATATGACATTGGGTAATGCTAGTTGATTCAACATAACACGCGATGTAACTTGTAATCATTAGATGATTATATAATTAACCTTCTTTATTAAAATAGTGTACTCAACTTTTATATTTTAAATACATGGTTGGGAATTCTGCTATTTTCTGTTTGTTTCAGAACTTATTTATAAACTTTCTTCCAAAATGATTAGTTATTAACTTTTTAATTAATAATAACTTCTATATTTTAAGAATAATTCTTGGTATTTTTATAATATTGAGTTTCTAGTTTGATATGTGCCAACGATGTCTAGTAATTAACTATAATCCTGAAGGTTCTAACATCAATACCTTAAACGGGGATGGATTAAAACTTATAAATAGTAATAATGCGGAAAGGGTTTAATTTAAAAACCTTCTGAGCAGAGATTAGGGACATAAAGATAGGAAACGCAACGACCGCAGCAACGATGGCGTCATCTATGCGTCTCAGATGTTAACTAAAAATATACGTCGTTTGCAAGACAGACCAGTTTTGCCAAATATTTTTTTTAAGAGATCGCACAAGTAGAGTAGAAAAATGGTATTTCGACAAAAAAATCGTACAATAGGTACATTTATACAATAATATAGCTTAAATGGAATGAAAAAATAAAAAAAACTTTGGCATGATAATTTATTTATCTATTTATAAAAATGTTTACAACGAAAAAAAAATAAAGAAAATACATGAAACTTTAAATTAACATATTATAAAGTAATCAATAAATGTCACTTGAAAGTGATTGAAATTTTGCATGCAAGCTTTTCTTATGCCGTGATAGTTTGTGTTGGTACAAAATCACCATGGTCAAAATCACGATAAGTGAGAACGACAAGTATTAGAAATTAAAAATTTTAAAAAACCGACTTCAAAAACATGCAGATGCCGTCACCACATCTTAACCAAATTTATATGGGACCATCTCTGAGGTACCCCCTTACTAAAAAAAAAAGAATCATATAAATCGGACAAGGTGGTAAAGCATTATCGCTAAACATACATAAAAAATGAAGAGTTTGAGGATTTTCTTATGGACTCAATTATTAGATTTTGACTAAATTTATATGGGACCACCCCTGAGGTACCCCCTTTCTAACAAAAAAAGAATCATTGAAATCGGACACCGTGTTAAAGAATAATCGCTGAATATACATTAAAAAAATATATCGCGACGAATTGATAACCTTCTCCTTTTTTGAAGTCGGTTAAAAATGACTGCCTTCAGAAATTACGAACGGCCTATGAATCTTTGCAAGTAGTTTTTGATTTTTATTGTTTTATGTTCTGAAGTTGTTGCAGATATTTAAATAAACCTACTAAAAAAGTGAAGATCATATTTTTACGTACGATCTCACTGATGCAACCGTACATCGTACAGAGAGTTAAAAAATCGTATAAATACGATTTAAATCGTATGGTTGGCAACACTGAGACAGACAGTAGACGTGGACAGCAGTGGACAGTTTGTAAATGTAAATGTCAGTTAGTTTTATGTATATCGAAGAATCCTGAATTTAAATTTTAAGTTCATGATTGTTATACTGTACATGAACTAAGTGAAATGGTTGTGGCTATTTTTGTGTGAAATTTGAGGCCAATAATTATATTTTGTAACATTACAATAAGTCGGAGAACGTATTGAATTAGTAACACATGCCACATGAAAAAATTTAACAACTCAATGTGGCGTTCTTTAATTAACCAAAGTAAAATCTAGTCATGTAAGTAACACAAATAGGAACCAACTTTTGTCACAAAGTAGGTATTTATGTATTATTTATTGTTTTAGAACAAGAAAATGGCTTCAAAACGTTAGAAAGAAGACTTCATATAGGAAGAAAAATATCTGAATTCCCATTATTGAGTTTGCACTCAAAATTTTTAAATAAGACACCACTGGCCATTCGTTTGGAAAATAAAAACAAAAATGTAATGTTACAAATAACGATCAAAAATTAAAAAATATTTGTCAAGAATAGATTTACAATAATTAATCGATAATAGACTGCAAGTGTAGTATTCTTTTTAATAAATAATTTAGCATAATTATATTGTTTAAATTTATTTACAGGAACATGAGAATTTATACAATCATTATTATCAGGTTTTTAAATTTCCCGCTACGTTGTTTGATATTGATGAAAGCGCCACGTAGTGGGTCAGATGTTAACTGTATTAAAGCTGGTCAAGAGAGCTGGTCGTTGTTAAGTATTGGCTTCTTATGAGCGTTTCCTATCTTTATCTCTGCTTCTGAGGTTAGATACTTTTGATTTGTGACCTATTTTGATTTTAGGTTAATTATGGTATAAATGTTTAAAAAATATATTTAGAAATAATCTAATTACAGGTTAAACAAGAATTTAAACAAACTGTCTTTTCTCACGAACAAGAGACTATTAATTTATTTAATTATAGTTGAATTTTTCTGGCAAAAGGTTATGAGCAAAAAACAATTTGATGCGGCAACTCGGAGGATGCGAGTTCGAACCCTGTTCAATGCAGATTTTTTTCAAAACAATTTTTAAATGTTTCATTAGTTTGTTATCATCTTTCGGATTCTGGAATTACTCCTGAATTATTTCGCTTGTCTTGTCTTATACCGACAAAATTTCTTGGGCTAAACTTTTCAGCATATCTCTTCATTTCGCATATTATAATTCCCCAATCAATCTTTTGACACCTCAAGATATTACGTAATATTTTTCAGACCTGGTGCCGAACTCTGCAGAGACTACGCAGACAAAGGTCTTAAAGAAGAAGTTTTGCAGCTTAGACACACCCGCAAGCAAATTCAAGATAAGATCAACTGTGCAAAATCTACCTACAACGCCCTAGAAGAGCAGCAAGTAATTATCGCTAGAGATATCGCCGATAAGGACCACGCCTTGATGACTGACATCAGAGTTTTGGACATTAGAGTTAGAATGAAAAAAGGAGACGCTGCAAACGAGACAGACAGGAATATCGAGCTTACTAATATGGAGAAAGAAATTCCACCCACGTAAAGAAAACTGGAAATTTGAGTATATTTTCGCAAATTTTAATTTTTTTTATGGAATTTGTAGTCCAGTTGCAAGCACGTACGTTAATTGGCGCTAAATTAAATAAATGTATAACCAAGACGAAAAAATTGCAATCAGTAATCAGACCATTTTAATTAGCGAATATGGATTCACTTAAAAAAATGTTTAAAAATTTGCCCAGTAAAATATTTTATTTTTGTTTTGATGGATTTTTACCAATCAATGGATTGATTTTTTCGAAAATATACAATAAAAAAACTTAGCAGATTATCTTTCTTTCATGGGGCCAAGCAGGGAAGTATGAGCCTACCAGGAGTACGGAAGATTTCCCGAAGGACCGGTTGTTTCGCAGTTATGTAATCTTCGCATTAAAAGCCTTAATCTTTATAATTAATTGTAAGTCAGAAATTTGGATGGAGCCGGTACTTACAGTTTCCCAAGCCATTAACCTTCCCCATCCACCTCTGGAGTCAAATGACACATCACATAAAAGCTCTTTTTCAATTATGTTCTCATTTTTTCAGGCACCCCTCTGCTTTTCCCAAGTAAGCTTGGGTTCCATCCTCTGGGGTTTACTAAAATTTGCAAAGTTCGAAGTGAAAAGTAGAAAAGTAATTTTATGAAATAGATCGCAGGTCTTAATTTCTTTTGCTTAAAATGGTCCTACCTTTTAATATATCCAGTACAAGATATTGATGTTATTTAGAATTATGGGCAAACTAAGTAGAATATGTAATAATATATTGTTATATTTTTCTGAACCTTCTCAAACCTATATAACTTTTAAACTAGTAGACTAATAATAAAAGGTTTATTTCGCTTCTAATTTTTATGTTTTTTCTGTACACTTATGTCTTTTTTGCTCACTTCTGGTTTAAAGGAAATAACAGACATACATAGGCATCAATACATTAATCTACTCAAAACTCTTCTAAAAAGTCATTGAATTTTGGAAAAAAAATTACTGATAAGCGGTCAACAGTAATTACTATTTTCGAATTTATAGTTTCGCTTCTAGATGTCGTAATGCTTACAACCAATAATTATAAACAGTTAAACGAGTGGGTAGTAAAAATTGGTTAAAATTTCGCGCAGATTACGGTTTTTATATAAATTCGACATAACTTAATTTTACATGTTTTTGATAAAAATAATTTTTTTATCATTAGCCTTGAGCATTACGGACCCTAGTGGCGAATAATTTCAAGTAATTTCTAGTGACGACCTTCATAAAAAATATGTCCGATTTTTACGATTAGCGCTTCCTTAAATAGGAGCCCGTTTCCTTTTAGACAAAATGTAGAATGTATCTTAAGCAATCTACCACTTTATTAATTTAGCGAATTGAAAAATTTGTGCCTAGTCACAGCCCACACTGGCTATAGGTTTAATGATATGCGAATGTTTAAGGGTGTGAATCTACATGAAAAATGTATGATATTTTTCTATATAAACTATGGTCCACAAATGTTCTGTTACGTCAATACACGGTGCTAAAGTTTTGGAAAAAAAAACGAAAATTAATTAATATTTTCGTAACCGCTTGATATATTTTAGTAATATTTAATATTCAGTGACAGTTCATAATGATGCGTAATTTTCAATACAAAAATATTTTTCAGCTGTAACAGTGGCGTGCGTATGCATACTAGCCTTAATATTTTTGCAAAAAAAAAATGGCAACGTCAATGGTTTTTTCCTAAATGAAAATTATTTTTAAATTTTTCGTTCAATTTCAAACTTAAACGATCTCTTGATTTGTTTCCTACGTTGCACCGTTTTAGAGTAAAAAAATAAAATCTGTTTTATTGTTAGAGAAAATTAATGTAATTGACTGGAAATTTCAAAAGTGTTAGTTAAGTGACAATTTTGCCAAAATTCGTTTTTCCCTTAATAATACCATATAAAACGAGCTCAGTACCAAGTCCAATACAAACAGTTCACCTTCCGCTTAAAAATGGCGCCTGTAGTAAGCCCATTCGGCGATCCTAGCGTGCTAAGTGCCATCAGTCATTTGTTTGTACCATTCGCGAGACGTGCTCATCTGCTCTAAGTTCTAACCTATTTGTAATTATTGATTTTATGAAAAAAATTAAAAGAGAATGGCTTAAAAGTGGTACCGGTTCGTTTGTCTCTGAACAAAAAAAGGGAAACTTGCTGGAAAGAGTTTTATTACTCGTAAAAATAAAAAAAGTTGAAGCAAGACAAGAACATTGATCTCAGTATCAATAATGTTATATCTTGTTTTAGGTATCTTGTAAATTTAAGTTAAAATGTAAAACCATAAACCTATTCAATCAATTTTATTTAACTGACAAGGCAACTCAGGGAACTTACCGGGTCGGTGGTATAGCGGTCTAACGCGCTTATATTCATTTATAAGCAAGTTTATGTGTCAGAGACTGCTGGGCTTCGAATCCCAGACCATATCATGTAGATTTTTAATTAAATTGCATGTAATAATAGAAATTCAATTTCTGTTGATATGACATGCATCTTATAAAAAATCGCCATACATTACCGTCTCGATGAAGGTGGGTGAGGTTTTCCGAGTTTTCCTCACCTGTAAGTCAAATGGCACCATCAATCATCTTTAAGTCGCCCTGGAGCGCCACGGCAAATAATAATAATAGCCGTCCCTTTCCCCCCACAAGCTTAGCTTTTGGGGTTAAAATTCACTTGTAAGGGGGTGAATTAGGGAGAGTATTATTATTATTATTATTATTATTATTATTATTATTATTATTATTATTATTATTATTATTACCTTATGAACCTCATGCATATTAGTAGAGTCAAAAGATGAAGAAATGAGAACTACGATGATGCTAGGACAGCCGTCGACAAGCCACAATTTACTACACTTTACACAATGGTACTGGCGATGTTATCCAGGTATGTAGAGCTATATTTATGGAAACTTTTGGTGTAACAAGAAGACATGTTTCCACTCTTTCTAAGAAAATAGGCAAAACCACTTTTAAAAAGAGAAGACAACATACGACTCCTAGTAAATTTACCCCCGATGACCGCAAATTAGTTCACCATCATATCAATAGTATTCCTCGAGATATGTCCCATTATTCCAGATACAAGACCGAAAAGAATATTTAAGTCCTGACTTGAATATTAGGCGAATGCATAAAGCGTTTTTAAATAACTACCCAGAAAGTCAGGTACAAATATTAAGTGTCTCTAAAATATTTTCCCTTTCTGTCATTCAAGCGACGTCGTAGCAAGACATGTCGAGTATGTGATAAACTGCAGTGTGGAATTCAACCTCGAATTGAAAATAGCTCAAAGGCCAAAAAAGACCTTAATGTGCATCATTCAAAGACCCAAATTGCCAGAAAATGCATAAAAAATGATATTACTCTATCTCAGCTTCCCGGATTTTATTATACCACTGTTTCTATGGATCTGGAACAAGTACTATTTTTGCCCTCCCTAACACAATCAGATATGTTTTATATGAGCCAACTTAGTTGTTACAAGCTATGTGTAAACCTAGTTGATCTGGGTACATGTGCTTATGAGATGAAAGTAGAGCTGGTAACGGCAGTAATGAAATATTCGCGATTCAAGCTAAGTGATACGCCCTCTGGAGGAAATTAGTAGAAGGTCCCTATAAGTAGGATATCGTTCAGTGTTGCCAGAAGCAGCAAAATTTCGTTACGTCGTCGGATTTTAGTTCTTGAAGAAATGGATAAGACCTTTTATTTAAGAATCAAAATTTGTGTCTAGTAATATGTAATCATACTCTATATTTATTTAAGGATTTTTTTATAAAATCGATTTATTATATTGATTTTTTTAAATTTCAGTTCATTTATTTTGTTTTAAAATCAGTCAGAGACAAAATCAGTTCATCATTTGGCAACATTGGCGTTCGTGTTCATTGTTTACATTTTAATTTGTATCAATTACAATTCGAGTTTTTTCTTACTTTTTAGCATTAAATTTGTTTATTTCTTATAGTATATGATAGTGTTTAAATTAAAAATGAAATCTGCGAAAAAGCCCCCAGCAAATTGCAATCTATATGGTGTTAATGTCAAAATCAAAAGTGAAGTATTCATTATTTTTCAAGTACAAGTCATAAAATTTTGTTTCTTACGATAAATGAGTAACTACAAATTCACAATATTGAAATTTTGCAAAACTGTTTAGAATCAAACTCCAATCTGATTTGTGACGGTTTTATTACGATTTACATGTATACAAAGTACTACAAAATTCACTTCATGATACAAGAATAAGGATAGTAAGATTTTTAAATAAGTTCATCAATAATAAACGTTTGGTACCTGATATGCAGAGCTGGGCAAGTACTCGAATAATTTTACTCGTATTTCGATTACGAGTAGAATAACTACTCGTAATTTTTACTTATAAGTATTTTTTATTTTAAGTACTTAATACTCGTACTTACAAGTAAATTTAAATCTACTAGTAGAAAGTACTTGTAAAATACGAGTATTATTTTACGAGTAGTCGGCATTTTTTGATCGTCGCATGTTAACCGCCAGTCGCTACTATAGATCGCCAGTATCACGAATCACGACACGAAACGGCTTCGGTTGCGTTCGGGCTGCGGTCTCTGATTTGGGTTGGGAATATTGGGAAAAGCAATTCGTTGGGCGTTTTACGTTTTATTATTTTTGGTGTTTTGTGGTGGTGTGAATGTGTTTCCTACGAGAACGGTTAAATATTAAACGTATATAGTCTCCATACACAATCTTTGTTAATTTGAATAAGGATAATTTCCTGACCGTAGCAGAATTTTACATAAATAAAAAGTTTTGTTTCCATCTTCGGGTGCAGTCAAAAATTAATTTAAAAAAAAACACATGGGGACGATTACAAACAGTTTAAATATTTTTAAAAATAACAGAAATCCCATCTTTCTGTTTCAGCATGTGAAGGTGTATTCGAAATAGTATTGATTTGGTTTAACACGATAGTGATAAAGTAGGGAAACAAAAAGATGAGTTTTTACAAAGTTAAAAATTACCAGTTTTAAAAAACTGTATTTAATTGTTCACTGTCAAGTTGACCATGTTTGTTTTATTTATATTCTAAACAAAGTTTTTATTTATTTTAGAATTGTTTTTTGTTTTTGTTTAGGTAAATAAAGACTATTTTTATTTAAAAATTATAGTGGTTTTTCTTTGTTTTTTCTATAGTTTATTTATTAGGTTAATTTTGTGAAACTACTCGTACTCTTTACTCGTATTTTCACGA